TATACAGTATATGTGTGTATATATATATATATACATATGTGAGATGTTCTGTTGGGAGTGGTAAATGTTTGAGGTTGGCTGGTGAGGACCACAGAACCAGGCGTCAGATGATCACACATACCGGGGGACAATATCACACACCGAGCTTGAGTAAAACCACGTGGGGTCGCTGTGATGGCTGGTGCACATGTGTCATGTCTATAAAAACCCATCTCTCTTGTATTCCAGTGGCTTTTTTCCTCTCCTTCTTTCTTAACCACAGTGCTGTTGTAGCAGTGAGGCATGAGGCGCTAACACTGCACAGAGTCCACGTCGTGACCCGCGGAACAGGGAAGGAATATCCTCTTGATGCTCATCGATCTCCCCCTGAAAAACCTCCCAAATGGAAAGCAGAGGGTTGAGAGTGGCACATGACACTCCATCCATCTGACTGCCCAGCAGCAGCACATGGCATGACATGAGCCAAGCGGTCGGCGCTGCCAGCACACACTTGCTCTAACCCAGTCAGAGCACCCCGCCAGTTCAGTCAGCCAGTCATTCATCCAGCCAATGACGTCAACCGTTGTTTTCAATCCATCATTTTTCAGGCTACGAATTACTCCGGTTGCGTCTGTGGAGCCTTTTTATTTCTTCTTCTTTTTTCTTTTTCCTCCTCCATCCTTCCTCTCTTCCACTCTCGTCCTCTGATGAAAGACACTCTCGGAGAGGTAGCCAAGTCGCTCGAGTTTGTTTTGACGTTTCGATGGCTCCGCCGGGGGAATGCGTTCGGAGTTTCTTCACATAAGTAGTGTTTTCAAAGGGTTTTCGACCACCGCGTGGTGGTTGTGTTTTGATGAGTTTGAATCTGGAGAGGGGGCTTTTAATGGTGCATTTATAAAGGGGGTCTTTGATGCAAACAACCCAGCTTGACTGCACTCTGTATGGGCCTGACCCCTGGTTTAGTGGATCACAGCCACCCTGAAGACCAGAACAGAGCAGAGCAACAAACACGTATCTGCTACTACTCTCCATCGGTTATGCTCCAGGACTCTGTTGTCTTTGGAAGGGACCCCGCTCACACGCTGGTTTTGTGCTTCACCTCCTCCCCTCGGCTTAATCTTGAAACCATCAGCTCCACAGTCTGGTGCTCTGTAAACTGAATTTGAAATAGTCATCTTTTCATTTTTTTTATAAGCTTGGTTAGTACAACCTCAGAGGGCCTTGCAGATTTCTGCGTGTGTCGTTCTGAAGCGTCGCTCATGCTATGGCCGGGTTAAATGCAAACGTCCACCGTCCTTGCAAGCATCATTTTGAGTGTGAAAAACGATAGGATATTTCATCTTTAAATATAAAAAAATACTGACAGCCACACAGAGTTCATCCTTACTACTTCTTCCAAAACTTCTGTAACTTTACTCCAGAGACTGATTGTTTGCAGGCTTGAAGGATGGATGGATGGGAAGCCATGTGTGCCATCTGATTATAGTTCGATAAAAGGAAGGTTGATATTGAACTTTTCAACTGATCAAAAAGTGGAATTTCTAGTGTTTTTTTTGGGGGGGGGGGGGGGGGGGGGTTGTTTCTGATTGGGGACAATACTGCAGTGTTCCTCAAACAGGAAAGGCTGGGACAATGGTGGGAAGTAGAGATTTGTGGGAAATGCTCTATTGCCTCTATGTTTCCTTTTCCTTCCAGTGACGAGCAAAAGAGGGGCGGTAACAGCCTTTTTTTTGTATTTTGTAGGTTGTAGCACTTTCAGGTGCATATTTATTTTTTGTGTGTTTATTGGACAGACAAAAGAAAAAGATCCATAGCTGAAAATGACGCGTGTGTGAGCCTATAAGAGTACAGGCGTTCATGTGCATGTTTACAAATGCATACATTGTCTTGACTGCGTTTATGTATTCCTGCACATGTACAGCAGTTATGCTCTGCTGTGTATTGTCAAACTACAGATGTATGCACATCTGTTTCTATGCATGTGTTGTTGTTTTTTGCGTGTGACTGTGCATGCATGCAGTAATTCCTCCCACTGCCATGCTGACTGTTGATGTTTCCTCACCCCCCCCCCCCCCACCCCCTCCGTCCACAGGTCTGTACGAGCTGCTGGCGGCTCTGCCCTCCCAGCTGCAGCCCCATGTCAGCCGCCCCGAGGACAACACCTTCCTCCAGGACATGTTTGGGGAGAGAAGCCTCCACTCGCTGGTCAAGGTAAAACAAGAACAGGACACCTCCTTTCTTTTAGAGTGGTGTGTTGTGATGTTCTTCAGATTTTGATACTTTACGTTACCGCCAGGGCACTGCTGTTGTCGAAGAGCAAATTCATATCCCTTCACTGTTGAGGCACTTTATAAATGCTTACCATCAAACTAGTGATTTATATTTCCAGCACCGTAGAAAATCACGTTCTGGCAAATCCTTTAACCAGCATGCTATTCTAAAATGTTGTAATATTAAGGTTACACTTTAACAGTTTAATAGTCATGAATAATGACATTTAGCTTGCATTCTCACCACAGGATCTGATAACTTTTAAACAAAGGCTCCTGACGCTCCAACCGGGAGGCATAGAAAAGAAACATTTTGGTGGCTTCAGAAAAGTGGATATCATTTGTCTCACTGTTTTAACAATTTAAAGTTCTGTAATAAATATATTAAAAAAAAAAAGAAATCTAAGAAGTTATATGTCTCAGTTCAGACAGACAATATCTATTTCATCACTGGATGTGGAATCTCCATAAATCTGCGTCTCGGTCTACATTACCCACTGCTACGGGACAGAATCCAAACTCTGTCTCCCGCGACCCCCCCACCCCTGATCCGACCTCTGCTATTCCCATAAAAAGCACGATCCCGCGTCATTCAGCCTCCCTTCCGTGCGGTCTCATTCATACATTGCTAAGTTTATTGTCATTCCGACGGCCTACCCTCCCAGATCTTCTGACTCCCCCTCTGCCAGCATGAGCGGGCCCGCGGTCCGGTTACTGCCTTTTAAACTGGATAGCCTGCAGAGTTTGTGGAGAAGATGAGCACACTTCATATCTTTATACGCTAGCAGACAGGCGGAGGTAATGAAAGTAACACATTCTGTCTACCCGCCCTAACCTCATTTTCACTTGGGATCCTCTGCGATCGTCAGCCTCCTCTTCTTCCTCTTCTCCTGCTACTGGAAAGGGAACAGGAGGGCTTTTGTGCTTTAAATCAGCTTGTTTGTCTGTCCCTATTCAATACATGGAACCACTGCTTCAGCTCGTCCTGTAGCTCACTGATGTAACCAAGAGGGCTTTTTTACTCAATTTACAAAGAAAACGTCTCTAATTGGCGCTACATTTGACTGTATCCTTTGTGTATGGTCTCCATTTTGAAAGAATGCCCAACACTTTTCTCATGTGCTGGCATGATATATTCCCCTCTTTGGTGGTCTCTCGTTCTCTCCAGCCAGAATCATTATGTCACAGAGACGATTGAGAGAGAAAAATGGACATCATTTTCATCCCCTCCCTCTTGTTTTTGAAGAATTCCTTTTCTGCGTAAGCATGTTTGTTCAGGATCCAGGGTTGTAATGCGCCAACGTGAGCGTGTAAAAGTGCCTGAATTATGGCATACCTCAGACGCTGAAGCAAAACCCCTATGTCGGGTCTTGAGGAAACCAGACGGGTTTCATTTGATGCCTGGGATTGTTATGGATGGCCAAAGAATACGGCCTCTTGAACATGGATAATGATGGGCAGGGCCTGCCCATGTTCAGGCTCTCGTTCTCGGCCGGCCCCAAAGAAAACACTGTGTAGTGTGCGGCAGATAGAGTGATGATAATGAAGGTGGCATTATGTTTCTGTGATATTTAGCCAGACATAAGGGTGGAGCACTCAATTCACCTCGCCCTCTAACCACCCCTGATTGTACCTGGCTAAACCTGCGAGAGTAAGGCCAGTGCTGTTGAAAGTAGAGTGCCATTTCCTCACCGGCTCTTTACCTGGAGTACAGAAAGCTTTGCACCAATCTTAGGGAGAAGCAGATAGTTTTCCTAATCTTGATTGTACACAAAAATGATCAAAGAAGACACAAAGAGCTGCACCACTGCTCTTATCCATTGAGAAGAGCCAGATGAGGTTGTTCAGTTGTCTTGGATGCCTCCCTGAAGGTGTTCCAGGCACACACGCATATGGGAGGAGACCCCAAACCACTCCACACAACGTGAGGGATTAGATATCCCATCTGACCTTGGACGCATTAGAAGCCCTCAGGTGCAGCTGGAGAAAGTAGCTAAAGAGAGGGAGTGTCTGGGTTGCTTTGCATAGCCTCCTAAGTGCCTATGGATGTGGATATACAGGAAGAAAAAGATGTCTCTGCAATACCAACCATACCAGTTTCAAAAGGCGGTGAGATCTTGGAAACAGTTTCTCCTTCTTGATTTTTTGTTTTAGTTTTACTGCTTTCAAAGGGAAGCCCAACAAAAATGAGCTTAGTGATTGTGGAAAGCTGAAATGTCAGGTGTGCGTTGTGTATGCATGAAAGAAGGGTTGAAATGGTCACTGATCAACTCCCGAAAAGCCATTCCAAAATTTGAATCCCACTTTGATCACGTGCCAGCTAGATGGTGAGTGGCTCTCACTTTGGGGCCCTGCAATTCAGTAAGTATTAGTTAATCTCCAAGCTAATGTGACCCACTTCACTATCGCTACCGTGGCAGAATGATACAGCAACAGTCATGTCTTGCCATCGCAGCCACAAAGTGATCAAATACATCAGTGAAACATCAAAGAACCACATTAGTTCTTCACCACATTGAGTTTGTTTTGACCACTTGTTTTCCTCTTCCTCTTCTGTTTAATTCAATGGAGAGAAACCGAGCTGCTTTTAGCGTCTCTTATCGTTAACGTGGAGGCATAAGTGGAAACTGCCCCGGACCAGAGAAGCAGAACTACGTGTTTCCTCTGCTTTCTACTTGGTACGGAGACGCGAGCCAGCCTGTCAGCCCGTGAGCCAAATGGACAGACATGCGGACATTGAAACACACAGAAGTACAGAACAACCATCTCGCCTTACAGCGGAGTCCAGCTTCAGGTGAACATGGCTAACGTCAGTGGCACACCATTAATAAAACCTTAATTGTCCCCTTCCTCTAAAGCCCCGCCGCCAAATCTCCACAGATTCCACCTTTTTTATTCCACAAGGCTGTGAAGGGGATACTTTGGGAATGGCTAAACAGCGAAGAGAAAACACACGCACGTCATGTTAATCTGACAGACTCGGCAACCCAGGTCGCTCATATGGAAACGATCAAGCCTCACCTGGGTAATTATGAAGCATCGGTTACTGGTCAGTCTGTCTGGGGAGGAGAGGGAAGGACCAGAGGAAGAGGTGTCAAAGATGGAAAGAGACACAAGAAAAAGACCTACATGAAGACCTAAACCAGACTTAAGTTCTCTCCGTTTCCCCTCACCTGCCCTCATCAGATGGTCGGGACAGCCTCTCACGTCCCTCCTAATCCCATTATGTCCCAGAGATGAAACAAATATTTTCTAATATCATCTTTCAGCGACGGCCCCGGGGCCTCGCAAGTTCGCCTCATTTTGCAGACTTTTTTCATCGGTGCAGCATCAGAGCTGACATGTAATGCGAGCGCTGGCGCGTATAGCTAGCATAGCTAAAACGACGCAGACAGTTCCCCCTCTTTTCAATTAAAAGGAGTTACTCAAGTGTGCTTTTTATAAATTCCACCACACTCACTGTTCCGCTGCCAAGTTCCAGCTCCACAAAAAGCCACAGGAAATATAATACAATATTCAATTTCCACCTGCCTCAGGTGGGGCTCTCTTTAAAGACCCAAGTTTCTGTCAGCAGGCCTTTAGCCAGGCCCCAAGATCCCTCGTTTTGTGGTCAGTCAGTTTTCCCTTAAATGCTGCTCCTGTTAGTTGCTAATAGGCTTGGCACTTGCAAACATCGTTACACAGCAAAATCGATGCAGGCTTGCCAGTTTGTTCTTCAGTGCTGCAGGCCTTTAATGACATGTAAAGGTGCTGCAGCTGACGCTTGTGCCCAAGTGGAAAGTTTCTGCTATTTTTGGTAAATGAGCTAATTTTCAGACAAACTGGACTGTATTGCTTCAGTACCAGACTTGGTATCCCATGAATAACTGGATCGCACTCGAGGGAGCCCTCCAAGTTTCATGACTCACCACTGTAATGTCCGTAAACTCTACTCTTTGACGACAGCCATAGACTTGCCCTTTGGGCACTTATCTTATCCTTTCCACCCCTCAAAACATGCCATGCTGCATTACCAAGGAAGATCACAAAAAAAGGAAATTGTTATAAACCTCTCACCCTGCTGGAACAGCTCTCTGTGAGTCATTTAAGCCCCACACCCTGTGTGCAGCACTGAAACCTGGCTGATAGTCTGGTTCAGGACTCAGCCTGTAAACCTATACCACCTCAGAGATCCACTCGTACTGTCTGTGGTCAGCACGTACTGCACACTGGTCTCTTCTGATGTCTGTATTTATTATTTTGGGGGAACAGTAACCCTCACGGGGGAATTAAGCAAATACCAGCAGGCTGCTTTGGAGAGGGGAGCTTCCATCCTTAAAAAGAGATAACCTTCATATTCATTCAGAGTAGATTCTTCTATTCTTATTTGGTTGTAAATGAAAGAACATTGTGCAGATTCTGGTTACAGTGTTTCAACTTGCCATTTGTTTCTAGAAAATATTGTTTCGGACACAAGCCGGCTGGTTATTTACGGTTTGAAAACCTCAGTTGAATCCAAAATAAATCTCCTTCCTTGCAATTTTATACTCCGCGCTTAGGCTACCTTCCAAATATTTTCCTAGGAGTTTAATGGTCGACTACAGCACGAAGTCGAAAGATCGTGCTCAATGTCCACAAACAAGCGCCTCTGAATTGAGCCAGAAGAGCTCGATGAACAGACCACGGATGGAGCCAAAGGCGAGGTTGTGATAGGGACAGGGGAAAGGAGGAGGAAAACTCCTTCGTGCAGAAGACGGGCTCGAGTATGGCCCGTTGACTACTGAATATACGTTAAAGTCAACCATTTCTACAGCACTGGGGATGGGAGCAGTGAAAACGAGGAGAGGCCTGCATATATCCACCAGTACCCATTTCTATTACTCAGATGTCTGTATTGGTAATCAAGGTAAATCTCTGGAGCAATCCCACAACCATTATTCCAGGTCACTTTGGTTGACCCCG